ACATCAGTGATTTCTCTGTCTTTATTTTTTTTCGGTAGTCTAGAAGAAGTCCTTATTAGACGCCCAGCAGTGTCACTGACATTGCTGATGTCCGTGAGCATCGGTGACCATTCACCATCACGGCCGTATGTTTGGTACCTATTAATGCAGTAATAAGAAAAGCGCGATAGACCGCTCATTATTATTTTTAAAATTAGTTACTTTACAGGGTTAATTTCGAATTCATTGGCGAAAATACTCAAAATACACGTTTGAACGGCTATCGAACTTAATAAAAAAAAAACAATGCGTCTTTTAGTTATAAACAGCGGTGCCTCTAGCAACGCTGATTTGAGGTCAAACTTAGCATAAGATTATTCATTATAATTATGAGAAATTGCACTCTTATCTAGCTAACAATGCGGTAATGAGCTTAAAGAAAAATACACATTATAGTTGAATGACGGATAATTTATTAAATTGATTGTTTTTTGGTGAGGGACCTTGCTGCCTACAATACGACACGGCCGTCTCTGTCACAGCTACGTTGTTCATGTTTGTACAATGAACACACATCTCTGTAAAGTGATGAGAACCCTACTCGTCGACCTTACTGGTGGTAGGACCTCTTGTGAGTCCGCACGGGTAGGTGCCACCACCCTACCTATTTCTGCCGTGAAGCACTAATACGTTTTAGTTTGAAGGGTGGGGCAGCCGTTGTAACTATAGTTGAGACCTTAGATGTCTATGGGCTCCAGTAACCACTTAACACCAGGTGGGCTGTGAGCTCGTCCACCCAATTAGCAATAAAAAAAAAAGACCTCGGCAAAGAGTTCGACGTGCAACCTAACCCATGCATCAGCCCGCGGAGTTTCTCGCCGGATCTTCTCAACGGGTCGCGATTCCGATGCAGTAGTAGATTCGAAGCGGTTGCTCTTGTGTTGTTGTTCTCCTTCGGAGGCGCTCGGGCTGCTGTTAGCAAATCCCACCCCTCCTGGCTGAGCCTTTGCTCGCCCACCTGTCCTGGTGAAACTGGAAAGGCCTCTGGGCGACTAGTAATCCCTCATTCATTAAAGTACCTAAAATAAAAAAAAGATGTGTGTAGCCTGTTTATGATGGTATTTTACATGTTCCTTCATAGCTTCTAACTTTATTCACGAATTATACGTGTAGGACAGCAGTCGACAACCTTGTCAATCAAAAGAACAAAATATAGATGACATACAATTGAAATTTATTCAAAGTGCCATTATTTTTTAACATATATTTTTATAGCCTTGTGTTTGAAAAATTTTTACTTTTCTCTTACGAGGCAAGATAATATTCCGTGCCTGAACTAAACATTTTGCGAAAGAGCCGTAGTCGAGGTGTCAAAGCGCGGCAGGTTTCCGACCACTTTTATATAAGGAAACCTTGAAGCGTCTAAAGTACATGGTAGTAAGATGTTGAGAGAATCGTTTTTTGTTTCTCATGACTATTTCGTGGTTTCATGATGGTAGAACGTCTTGTGGTCCGCACGGGTAGGTACCACCACCCTGCCTATTTCTGCCGTGAAGCAGTAATGCGTTTCGGTTTGAAGAGCGATTAAATTTGTAAAATTGATAAATTAGCGTAATTTTTGGTAGTAGAGCGTAATGTATGCATTACTGTAATTTACTGGTGGTAGGACTCTTGTGAGCCCGCACGGGTAGGTACCACCACCCAGCCTATTTCTGCCGTGAAGCAGTAATGCGTTTCGGTTTGAAGGGTGGGGCAGCCGTTGTAGCTATACTGAGTACCTAGAACTCATATCTCAAAGGTGGGTGGCGGCATTTACGTTGTAGATGTCTATGGGCTCCAGTAACCATTTAACACCAGGTGGGGTGTGAGCTCGCCCACCCATTTAAACAATAAAAAAAAACCTTTCTGCCGATTTGCGACACGAAGCATTTATGTCAGCGGTTCAAAGGGCAAGGTAGTCGACAATTGAGGCTTGACCTCATGTCTCATGATTTCACGTTGTGGTTTTGATCCGCAGCAACAAAAAAGTCGTCGAAATTAATAGATTTTCGTGATCGAGTTTCATTACTTTTTGATTATTCAAATAGCACCGATCGATGTGTTGTGTAGTGTAGGATTGGCGACCAACAATGACAATCAAAACTTGTATTGTCCGAGTTCCGCCGGAAGTGACATTATGTCTGACCGGTGATGCGGACACGAGGCCCTGGCTTCGTGATGTTACCGAACTAATTTGAAGTTATTTAAATGTGGTCACGGAATATATGATGACACAGCGGTCTCGCTGTATAGTTGTTGCAAAGGACGAGCGCACCTTTATTATTAATATTATTTTATTGCTTAGATGGGTGGACGTGCTCACAGCTCACCTGGTGTTAAGTGGTTACTGGAGCCCATAGACATTTACATCATAAATACGCCACCCATCTTGAGATATGAGTTCTTAGGTCTCAGTATAGTTACAACGGCTACCTCCCCTTTCAAACCGAAACGCATTACTGCTTCACGGCAGATATAAGCGGGGTGGTGATACCTACCCGCGCGGACTCACAAGAGGTCCTACCACCAGTGATTACGCAAATTATAATTTTGCGAGTTTGATTTTTATTACACGATCTTATTCCTTCGCCGTGGAAGTCAATCGTGAACATTTATCAAGTACGTATTTCATTAGAAAAATTTCTACCCGCCTGCGGGATTCGAACACCGGTGCGTCGCTACATACGAATGCACCGGACGTCTTATCCTTTAGGCCACGACGACTTCAAAAGTTTGTAGTTGTAATCGTAAATACACATTTTCGTCAGTGTGTGCACAGACGGAGCGGTCCGTAGCTACATACATTAGCTACATATCGCCTACATTGACGCGTATACAGATTGGTCACCCACACAACTAAGGGCGGCGCGCAGTCGTACTTTGCAACAGTCACCCCGATGGAAGTTAAAGACTTGATCAAAGACCTACGTCCTCGCAAGGCTCCCGGTTCCGACGGTATATCCAACCGCGTTATTAAACTTCTACCCGTCCAACTCATCGTGATGTTGGCATCTATTTTCAATGCCGCTATGGCGAACTGTATCTTTNCTGCCTATTTCTGCCGTGAAGCAGTAATGCGTTTCGGTTCGAAGGGTGGGGTAGCCGTTGTAACTATACTGAGACCTTACAACTTATATCTCAAGGTGGGTGGCGCATTTACGTTGTAGATGTCTATGGGCTCCAGTAACCACTTAACATCAGGTGGGCTGTGAGCTCGTCCACCCATCAAAGCAATAAAAAAAAAAAAAAAAAAAAAATACAAATATCTTCCCTTGGCGGGATTTGAACCCGCGAACCCCTTGTGTAGTGACCATGTCACTTACCACTACACCAGACGGCCGTTAAATGCCCAGCGAAGCGGTCGAGTACGGCTAGTTTACTAATAAATATAATTTAAAGCATTTAGTTATTATACTCAGCTATTGACAACGCATAATTAACACTATTGTACAGTTCTCATTGTCACGGACGCCAGTTTGCGGTTTTTGAAATGAAAATTAAACTGTAAACCGAATTAAACCGCAAAAGTTGTTGTAGTTATGCTCACGACTCGCAAAATCGGTAGAAAATGCTAGGTATATTAATAACGCAATTTTTTCGTCAAAAATAGGACCTAGTTTACCAGGATAATGTATCTATTGCTAATAATTTCCGGGTGACGTGGTAGTGACAATCGCTAAAGATCGATAAATAGTTAAGATGGATTAAGATGGATGTGTGAAGTGACAAGAATGGACAAGATAAGGAATGAGTATATCAGAGGAAGTATGAAAGTAGGCCCGTTAATTAACAAATTAATGAGCGGACGGTTAGCGTGGTATGGACATGTGATGCGTAGAGAGAAGATGCATGAGACTAGGGAGATGTATGGAAATAGTAGTGCAAGGTAGAGGGGGAAGAGGTCGACCGAAGAAGACATGGATGGTGTGTGTGAATGACAATACGAGAGAGAGAGAGAGAGAAAAGTGAGGGTTGAAATGATGGTTGATAGAAGAGAATGGAAAAGAAAATTTAGCTGTGCCAACCTCACCCAGTGGATAAGGTGGAGAAAAAGAAGAATTCAAATTCAAAATTCAAACAAAGTCAAAAATATTTGCCAAACATTAATTTGCTATTTTATTCATAAACCACGCGCAAATTTAAATTAATAAGGGGCACAAACGTAGGAATTCCAAACTCGTGAATCCTACTAAGATAGTTTTGTTCTTAATGAGTTTTTAATTTGGCGCCGCGTTCCACATTTACAACTAGCTGATAAGAAGTTTCGGCGACTGATAACGGAACTTTGCCTTTGTAGACTTGTCTTTCCAATTCCTGTTCATTCTTGTGTTGTTTTTATGTAAATGATCGATAAATTTAAATAAAATTACGTGTCTTATGTTACGTACAGTTTTCTTTATTACATTTTGCGCTGGCGGTAGTAGTCGAGTTAAACATAACCGGTATCCTTTTCATGTTGTAAAAAGACATAGGTACAGATAAGCCTTGTATTGAATTCGTAACTTCTAGGTGGAAGAACACTTATGATACCGTAGGCTAAGAGTTTGAGTTCACATTCTAATTTTCAAATAATATTAATTTTGAGGCCGCACGTGTAAGTACCACCACCCTGCCTATTTCTACCGTGAAGCAGTTATGCGTTTCGGTTTGAAGGGCGGGGCAGCCGTTGTAACTAAACTTGAGACCTTAGAACTTATATTTCAAGGTGGGTGGCGCAATTACGTTGTAGATGTCTATGGGCTCCAGTAATCACATAGCACCAGGTGGGCTGTGAGCTCGTCCACCGATCTAAGCAATAAAAAAAAATAAAAAAACAATATTATCAAAATTAAATAGTAGTTAGGAGTGGTCAGTTTCCTTTTAATACGGCATTGAATACGTAATAACAAAAAAATAGTAATGACAGTGGCAAGTTTACAATGATGACTGTGATATTTCCGCTTGCGGCGCCATACCAACCATGGCATTTGATTCCCGCGCTTTGCCCGTGGCTGTGTGTGGCGGAACATCGCACGGAGCGCAACAAAAAAAAAAAAAAAACGCGCGAATTTTTCTTTGATTCACGGAAGTGATGCAGTACAAATCTGCATAAAAACACGTATGTATCGTTTTTAATCTTGTTATAGATTTAATGGAGCGAGAAAGTAAGGTAAGCGTACCATAAATAAACGTTTGCGAGTTTCGGGAGACCTTTACTGTAATTTTAGTCAGTTCGTGAATGTTTTTGTTGTTTGTATTTTTTAAGTTATGGAAATTTCGTAAACCAGTTTTGCCTTGATTATGTTTCGCAGCATCGTTTATTGTTTTACATTGTATTATAAAAAAGTTTTTGCTATGTTATTAAATTGTAATTTATTATAGTATAAAATAAATACAATATACTCACATAAATTATAATAATAGAAACGGCCGTCTGGTGTAGTGGTAAGTGACATGGTCACTACACTAGAGGGTCGTGGGTTCGAATCCCGCCAAGGGAAGATATTTGTATGATAAATATAAAATGTATTTACCAGGGTTATGGATGTATATTAAATATATGTGTGTATAATAAAAATCTTACATTTATTTCCATTATTTGGTACCTGTAACACAAGTTCTTTACGAACTTAACACGGGACCAGTTAACGTGGCGTGATTGTTAGTAAAATAAAAAAATAAAATTTTTTTTTGATAAACAAACAAAAGATTCTGTGTAAATCAAATTTACCAGAGAATTAATTAGAGAGTTACATGTGCTGCCCGATTTACATCAGTGATTTCTCTGTCTTAATTTTTTTTCGGTAGTCTAGAAGAAGTCCTTATCAGACGCTTAGCAGTGTCCCTGACATTGCTGATGTCCGTGAGCATCGGTGACCATTCACCATCAGGGCCGTATGCTTGGTACCTATTAATGCAGTAATAAGAAAATCGCGATAGACCGCCCATTATTATTTTTAAAATTAGTTACTTTACAGGGTTAATTTCGAATTCATTGGCGAAAATACTCAAAATACACGTTTAAACGGCTATCGAACTCAATAAAAAAAAAAACAATGCGTCTTTTAGTTATAAACAGCGGTGCCTCTAGCAACGCTGATTTGAGGTCAAACTTAGCATAAGATTATTCATTATAATTATGAGAAATTGCACTCTTATCTAGCTAACAATGCGGTAATGAGCTTAAAGAAAAATACACATTATAGTTGAATGACGGATAATTTATTAAATTGATTGTTTTTTAGTGAGGGACCTTGCTGCCTACAATACGACACGGCCGTCTCTGTCACAGCTACGTTGTTCATGTTTGTACAATGAACACACATCTCTGTAAAGTGATGAGAACCTTACTCGTCGACCTTACTGGTGGTGGACCTCTTGTGAGTCCGCACGGGTAGGTACCACCGCCCTGTCTATTTCTGCCATGAAGTAGTAATGCGTTTCGGTTTGAAGGATGAGGCAGCCGTTGTAACCATAGTTGAGACCTTAGATATCTATGGGCTCCAGTAACCACTTAACACCAGGTGGGCTGTGAGCTCGTCCACCCATCTAAGCAATAAAAAAAAAAGAACTCAGCAAAGAGTTCGACGTGCAACCTAACCCATGCATCAGCCCGCGGAGTTTCTCGCCGGATCTTCTCAACGGGTCGCGATTCCGATGCAGTAGTAGATTCGAAGCGGTTGCTCTTGTGTTGTTGTTCTCCTTCGGAGGCGCTCGGGCTGCTGTTAGCAAATCCCACCCCTCCTGGCTGAGCCTTTGCTTGCCCACCTGTCCTGGTGAAACTGGAAAGGCCTCTGGGCGACTAGTAATCCCTCATTCATTAAAGTATCTAAAATAAAAAAAGATGTGTGTAGTCTGTTTATGATGGTATTTTACATGTTCCTTCATAGCTTCTAACTTTATTCACGAATTATACGTGTAGGACAGCAGTCGACAACCTTGACAATCAAAAGAACAAAATATAGATGACATACAATTGAAATTTATTCAAAGGGCCATTATTTTTTAACATATATTTTTTTAGCCTTGTGTTTCAACAATTTTTACTTTTCTCTTACGAGGCAAGATATTATTCCGTGCCTGAACTAAACATTTTGCGAAAGAGCCGTAGTCGAGGTGTCAAAGCGCGGCAGGTTTCCGACCACTTTTATATCAGGAAACCTTGAAGCGTCTAAAGTATATGGTAGTGAGATGTTGAGAGAATCGTTTTTTGTTTCTCATGACTATTTCGTGGTTTCATGATGGTAGAACGTCTTGTGGTCCGCACGGGTAGGTACCACCACCCTGCCTATTTCTGCCGTGAAGCAGTAATGCGTTTCGGTTTGAAGAGCGATTAAATTTGTAAAATTGATAAATTAGCGTAATTTTTGGTAGTAGAACGTAATGTATGCATTACTGTAATTTACTGGTGGTAGGACTCTTGTGAGTCCGCACGGGTAGGTACCACCGCCCCGTCTATTTCTGCCGTGAAGTAGTAATGCGTTTCGGTTTGAAGGGTGGGGCAGCAGTTGTGACTATACTGAGAGCTTAGAACTCATATCTCAAAGGTGGGTGGCGGCATTTACGTTGTAAATGTCTAAGGGCTCCAGTAACCCCGTAACACCACGTGGGCTGTGAGCCCGCCCACCCATCTAAACAATAAAAAAAACCTTTCTGCCGATTTGCGACACGAAGCATTTATGTCTTGCGTAGTCGACAATTGAGGCTTAGACCCCATGTCTCGTGATTTCATCTTGTGATTTTGATCCGCAGCAACAAAAAGTCGAAGTTAATGGATTTCGTGATCGAGTTTCATTACTTTCTGATTATTCAAATAGCACCGATCGATGTGTTGTGTAGTATAGGATTGGCGACCAACAATGACAATCAAAACTTGTATTGTCCGAGTTCCGCCGGAAGTGACATTATGTCTGACCGGTGATGCGGACACGAGGCCCTGGCTTCGTAATGTTACCGAACTAATTTGAAGTTATTTAAATGTGGTCACGGAATATATGATGACCCAGCGGTCTCGCTGTATAGTTGTTGCAAAGGACGAGCGCACCTTTATTTTTTTTTTTTTTATTGCTTAGATGGGTGGACGTGCTCACAGCCCACCTGGTGTTAAGTGGTTACTGGAGCCCATAGACATTTACAACGTAAATGCACCAACCATCTTGAGATATAGGTTCTATGGTCTCAGTATAGTTACAACGGCTGCCCCACCTTTCAAACCGAAACGCATTACTGCTTCACGGCAGATATAGGCGGGGTGGTGGTACCTACCCGCGCGGACTCACAAGAGGTCCTACCATCAGTAATTACGCAAATTATAATTTTGCGGGTTTGGTTTTTGTTACACGATGTTATTCCTTCGCCGTGGAAGTCAATCGTGAACATTTATCAAGTACGTATTTCATTAGAAAAATTTCTACCCGCCTGCGGGATTCGAACACCGGTGCGTCAAACAAATACACCAATATTTATTATTTAATAAGAAGAATATCTAATATAATAAATAGGTATTAATAAAGTATGGATGTATGCATAAGACGGTGTGCCATTATGAGCAATTTTGCTTACGATTAGGTCATCTGTCACAGGTTAAACATCCGATCTAACTGTAGCAGCTTAATATCTGATACCCTATTTAAAAGAGCACATGCAATTTAGAAATACAAGTTAATAGAGTTCCTATCGATGTTTCTGATATGGCCAGTAATGGGAGCTGGAGCGTCAGCAGCGGCCAGCGAGACGCCTGGTGGAGACCTTCGACTTCCAGCATCGGGGCTGCGTTTCACCACAAATCAGCTTCGAACTCTAAATTCCTATGTCGAGACTCTGTGGGAAGATGATCAGAAAGGTGAGAGAGTGTAACTTTTAGAAATAGGCTGTCATAGTTCTGCAGGTAGGGCTGTGAGCTAGCAGGAACACCAGTCTACCTGCGTGTGTTGGGGCACAGTCAACCTTTGTGTGTTTGGGTAATCCTGAGCTTTCCCTGTAATGCAAATATAGTAGGAAGTGTACGGTTGCTGATGCAAAGTAAAGGGGGTAAACTGCCCTTTATAAATAAAACAAGTTAGTTCCGATTTTAATCTGTATATTGTCACAAGTGTCTGACGTGTCGGGTGGGTTATGTATGACTGACTATATCAAGCGATGTACAAAACTGCATGCGCTACTAAACTGTGTCCCTACAGGAAGTGTACTTGTTTTTAGGAAGAATATCGACGGAAACCGAGAGCGCTGTTGAGAGTTTGGTCCAGAGAATCGTGGATGGGGCTGGACGTCGGGACCCCAGGTTCGGATGTTCTCACCTCATCGCTTTGCATCGTGGAAAGAAGGTAGCTAAACATTCCTCATTTCAAAATGCCAGGGAAAAATAAACCGCTCACTGAGTTTGTTTCGCCGGTTCTTCTCAGGACTGTGGCTTTTTTTGGAACCGGTGGTAGAGTTAACATTGTTATTTGTATTTTGACATTCAACAAGTGTGTCATACTGACATCTAAGTTGAAATAAATGATTTTGAATTTTGAATTTGAATTTTTGACTCTGGTCTGATTCGCGATTATTAGGTAGGTACATTCAAATGTAAGTTCATTTTCTTTATAGATGGATGGAATTTATGGGATAATATTGACGTATGCGTAACGTTCATATAAAGCGTTAAGATATACCGTTACTTCATTAGACGCGAATCGTTTTCTTTTAAGCTTGTGTTAGTCGTTGAAAAGTAGTTTTGAAGTTTTTAACTTGAGCCGATTTTGACTACGCATTTTTCTTTCCTTTTCTAATAGCTGGTAGCCTAAGAGCTATTCCAGCTACTCACCTACGGATAGGTGAACACGATACCGAAATAAATATTTCTTTGGGTCTATATTGGCACATGACGCATTGACTATGAAATTGAAATCGAAGAGTATTAAGGTAATGTAATGTATAAATGTATGGGATCTAATGCGAAGATCACTCAAGGTTTTGCTTACTGTTTGCTATTTAAGTTTATCTTGAGAATGTTTAGAGGAAGTCTTCCTCAGTGCCTGACCTTGGAGAATAATATTTTAAATGTTTATCTACGTAAAGGTGTACCTTCAAACCGATCCACAACTAGATGTTGGAACTTGTTTCAGATGAGGTCCCGGTCCTTGGAGTACCTAGTGACCCTGGACTCTCTTCCGGTACTGAACTCTAACGACGAATGTCGTCTCCATGACGGTCCAACTGGTTACGGCCGGGTCCGGCTGACGGGGAGGGATGCTGAGAAATGGGAAGAATTTCTGACACCTGCGGGATACTTGTGCCGGTACTTTGGGTTTTAGTCTCGTGGAACTTAGATAGTCGTGATACATTTTAGGAACAATTCACGTGTGGACTTTAACTGAATATAGATAAAAATGAATACATGTGTTTGTATTCAATTTGCGTTATAAGCGATGATGGTAGTTGTCGTGGCCTAAAGGATAAGACGCATGTCAAGGGAAGCGATTGTACCTTGGTTCGAGTCCCGCAGGCGGGTACATATTGTTCTAATGATATGATACTTAGCAAAATTTCGCGAATCTTTTTCACGGTGAAGAAATAGCACCGTATATTCGTAGTATAAAAGAAATTCAAGGATAGAGATCCAAACGATAGGGCTGGAGGTGAATGTTTGTGAAGTTTTCAAGCTTTGGTTTAGATCGTAATCTAACAATTACGTACTGCTGCTCATAATTAATTTATAGACATTTTTACTGGTGGTAGGACGTGTTGTGAGTCCGCATGGGTAGGTACTATTATTTATCTCCTGCCACGAAGCACTTGCTGATACTAATGGATGCCGGTTCGAAGTCTAGAGCAGCAGTGACTTTAATTGAGAATGTGACAGATTGTAATTGATCAAAATCTAGAGCATTAAAAAATCCGTTCTAATGGAATGGTTTGTTTTTGATAGAGACAAAATAGTAGAGCGTTGGGTGGGGTTGGTGGCGCGCAGTGCGGGCGCGCGGGGCGGGGGCGCAGGCCGGGCCCTCGCCGCGCGGGCCGCTCTCAGGGCGGTACCCAACCAATACTGCTACCTGGAGAGGGGTAAGTCTTGTACGTACATCACTTAGCATTAAATGGGCCGTGAGCCTATCTAAGCAATATAAAAAGCTATAAAACAAATAAAGAAAAACAAAACCAGTTGATGAACGTGAAAAGAGAAGATTGAAAATGAGAAGAAGAGAAGAAAGAGAAGAACGCAGAAAGCGATGCTTAATTGTTTTGTTCTTGTCTTTTGAGATATAGATATTAGCTTAGATGCCTAGACCAGGTCACGGTCATGGCCCTCTTGAGGTCTGATTTCGAAGCTATATTAAGGCAGTCTCACTCATCAAAACAGTGTGCTTAGTGCGAGTTTTTTTTTAACTTGTAAATTGTATGGAGTTGGAATGGCTTAAATTCGTTTGTCGCTAGGGGCGCCGTTCCAACTCCATACAAACTTGAGTTAACTTTTACGCGATCGAGAACGTTAACTCACTCGCACTAAGCACACAGAACTAATGATCGCTTCTAGACATTAGTATGCAGGTTAATGGTATACTGTATAGGAAAAGAAAGAGTTTAGTATATAGAGCAAACAGCACACGTGTCGTTCCCACGCCTCGCCGACTTCGCCCTTACTCGAACTTGATAAACTTTTAATTAAAACGATTTTCCCCCGGAGCTCGGGAACGGTCTCGACTGTGAAACTAAATCGTTTACGATCCGTATCTCACACCGATTTATAGAGCGGCCGCCGCTTGTCAAACTCGCGCTATTAATATTCGATGGTTCTGTTGTTAGGATTGAGATCCAAACAACTGGGACTGGGGTTGAATGTTTGTGAAGTTATCAAGCTTTGGTTTATGTCGTGAAACAGCGTGGCTCATAATTAATTTATAGGCATTAGAATGATCTGTTGGATTAGGGCTTGGTGATGGCTAGGATGCCACGGAAACCGGGTTCATGAAGTAAATGCGATCTCCCGGTCGCAGTCAAGTTTTTTGTTAACTTGGGTATTGTGAGCCTTAATCGCTTTGACGACTCGTCGGTCGGGAGTCCTCGGGGTAGTGCCGCGAGTCTTGATGTAGTGGTGACCGCGGGAAACCCTTTATTCTGATCGGGTTCTGACCCCGGACGGAGATTGGACGTCAGATGTGAGAGTGCAAGGGGAGTTATTTGATGCGGGAAGGTCCTAAAAATATTCTTAGGCCCGCGGTCTGCACGCAACTAAGCAAAAAAAAAATCCAAATTTAAAACTTTAAATGACTCTCCTGTAAAGTTGAAAAATGTCGTTTAAACCAACCAAATAGCCTTTGTCTATGAAGTCAAAGAGTTTCAAGTCTAATAACTGTGTTCACATTGTGAATTCTATCATGGGTTTGAATCGTGAATTTAAAGAATTTCACCAAAGCTGTTCTTTCCTCAAGCATCATCAGGTTTCACCAGTATCGACCGTCGTCTGGCCATCGTGGAAGGGGCGGTGTGGGTGATGGTCCGCGTCGGGGGCGGGGAGGCTGAAGCCAAGCTCGTATTGGGAGCCAGGGTCCAGGGCTGCCACCCACAGGCCTACACAACCAGAGTGCCTATAACACATCCGTTGGCGTTGCTACATTACACTGCTGCTCAGGGGGTAAGATTTAGAGAGAGGAAGAGAAAGAGAGAGGGAGAATATAAGTATATTGCACACCAAAACACAAACAAAAACAGTCAACAATTGTACAATGGGCGGTCTTATCGCTAAAAACGATCTCTTCCAGACAACGGTATAATTTACAGAAATTCTGTAAAAGATAAAAATACATCAGGCTTGTTGCGGTGTACTATTAATGATACTTTATTAAAGAAAATACATACAGACAATAAATAGATATATACCCTTAAATATAATATGAAATCACTATATGATTTATATTCCAATATACTTACATACACATAATAAATCAACAGTATAGATAAAGCATAAACAAGCAAACACTAGGCGGATTAGTAATGTTCCTTCATCATTCGTTTAAAGCATTAATTGAGATAACATTTAATTGTCTATAATTTTAGCGAAATATCTTTGATCATATTTGAAATTTGTGGTGTTGTGTGGTGTAATTTAAGCACCTTGTTCTGTATTTTAATGATTTATTATTAAAACTAGAGGACCCGACAGACGTTGTCCTGCAAAATTCGTTTAGTTGTAGTACAGATAAATAATCTAGATACCGACTGCAGCGCTATCTGCCGGGCTGATTTGTGAATCTAAACCATCGCTTTTAGGCATACAAAAAATTCATTCAAATCGGTCTAGCCGCTTAGGAGGAGTTTAGTGACAAATACACGCACAGAAGAAATATATTTACTAGCTGTACCCGTCCACTATGCTGGGCATTGAAAATTAACATTATTATTTCTCACCCCCACTAAGATTCTCATCATCAACGCCCCCGCAACTGGTGTAGGGAGTTCAACACTCATATAAATATTAGCTTATCGTTAAGTACATGCGTTTTCTACATGGATACCAAGTTTCAAGTCAATCGAATGCATGGTTCAGTGGTTATAGCGGAACATCCGTAAAAACCACTGTAGATTTATATATTAGTCTAGATTAAAATTAAAACTAAATAATTTGTAAAGTGAAATTTCCAGATGTATTATGCCGTCACGGCAGGACCCCCTCTGAGCGCGGCCTGTCCGGACCGGACCTCCACTTGGCAACTCTGGCATCCGGCGCTGGAGGCCACCTTGGACGCTCACTGCTCTGAGCTGTCCACGGTGGCCAGGATCGCTGGAGCTTTGAACGCTCTGGTCGATAAAATGAGAGAACAGAGTCACCAGGTAAGATAAAAAATTTTTTTTTTTTCCTACCTAACCTGAGAGCCTTGAGAGGCTATTTCAGCGTAACCCTAACGTTTGTAGGTGAGCTCACGGGGCTCAAACCTGACGACGATGCTAACACGAACCCTAGCAGGAGCTGTGCTTCGCAGAATCTACCACCGGATCGGAAACGCGGCTCACTGAGAAGATCCGGCGAGAAACTCAGTGGGCTGTGTCTGGGAGTTAATTTACTCGTCGAGCCCTTCGTCGCAAGCGACGGGTTCGACGAGAACGGTGCAGATCTTAGACACTTTTATAGTAATTGTATTGATAGTAGAAAAATGGTGCGCGTGCAACTTTGTGCACGTGAAAGAAGTGAAACTTCTTTTGCGGTGTGTAGTATTGTGGTTTTCTAAACTTTTCATCTTTAAATCAAATTTATGTTGTAATAGGGAATGTCGTATATAAGATAAACGACCTAGCTCGCTTTGTCCTTTCCCTCTATCCACGGTTGAATGGTTCGCGAGACGCTCTGTCTATTTTCTCACTCTCGCTCTGCCTAAATTGTATCTTATCTCTCTAGCCGTAACGAATCTGTCGCGAGTTAAATTTTACTCTCAACGAGCCTAAAAAATTTTCACTTCAAAAAATTGAGAAGTATAGAATTCAAATCGGAATCAGTAGTACTTTTCTTTAAGCAAATTAGATACACGAAGATTGATAATAGCCGGGATCATTGAGAAGATCATTTCCATTGTCAGGGCAGTCTCCGAGCTACCAGTCGCTACCTGGTGCAATGCGCTCTCCGGCGTCGCCTGGACCGGTGTGCGGGCTACGCCACGGCGGCCGCGCGGTGCTGCCCCGGGGCGCACGCGTCACACCACCTGCTGCTCGTACTGGATTCGTGAGTCGAAGCACCAGATAATGACAACAGCGATCATACGATTCGTTGATGATGTCTATGAGCTCTATATCCAACTAATACTAGACGAGCCGTGAGCTCGTTCACTCCTTATGAATGTAACCTCCATATGATTTATGACATAAAGAGGTTAATATGTTATACAGGTGATATAAATGTAAATTTGATGAATGAAAGATTAGAAGAAGGAACATAAGAAATATAAAAACATTTTTAAAATTGTAAAATATAAAAACATAAAAAAACTGGTGAAGTAATAGCTTTAAATGTTGTTTCTCTTTATAGAGCAACTCAATTTGTGCTGTAGTTTTATCCTAGTAAACTTTTTTTTTATGTGAATAAAATAATACATTATCTATATAATATACGTGAAGCAAAAACTTTGTATCCCTTTTTACGAAAATTGCGCGGACGGAGGAGTATGAAATTTTCCACACTATATAGAGAATATAGAGAAGAAGTACACAATACTAATTTTTTTTTAAATAATGCATAAAAGATACATTAAATCAATAAAGAAAACATTACACACACTACATACCATGTATTTGACGCACACACGCATGCATACTATTTATTTATTGTCAAAACTTTTGTTCTTGCCGTCTGTTGTCAAATTGACAATAGATTAAATATTGTTTGTCTTTATGAATATTTTTTCATAGTATAGCTTTGGCGAAATTTGTGATTATATAAGTATAAAATACAATCATAATAGTGTACAAACTTATTATACAATTCCAATTAATTATAGTCGAATTTCGACTACTACGGGACCTCTAGTATGAATTAACAAAGAAATCTAATATACAAGCACATAAAATAACAATATGAAAAAAAATTAAGACTATACCTTATTTACTCTATAGATTTTCATGTTCTTCAAACATTATTTGAATGGTCTATAGTTAATAATGCAAGTGGTCCCCCAGTAGTCGAAATCCGACTATAATTAATTGTAATTATAAATTTGAACTTTATTATTTGGTTCTATTGTCAAAGACTATTTATTATAATTCTATAATCACAGATTTTGCCAAGACTACACTATAGACAAATGATATTAATCTATTCTCAATTATACCACAGATTTTCTTCTTCTTTTTCCCCACCTTATCCCACTAGGTGAGGTTGGCACTATAGACAAATATTATTTATTAAAGGTAAACAATATTAATTTATATTTCAGTCTCAATTTGACTACAGACTTTAACAATAAACTAAAGATTATAATAATATATATGTATGTGTGTGTGTCAAATACATGGTAGTGTGTGTAATATTTTTATTTAATGATTTAATGTATTTTTTGTGCATAATTAAAAAATATTAACATTCTGCACTTCTCCTCCGTGTTCTCTTTAAGTGTGGAAGATTTCATACTCCGTGCAATTTTCGTGAAAAGGAGTACCAAGTTTATGCTTCACGTATTAATATGTATATAAAACTTTTGGTTGGATATGGTTTGGGTGGATATGGGATGAAATATAATCTCTATAAAATGGTGGTCATTTACTGAGACTTTTTCAGTGAACTTTTTGGAGGATTCCGAGAAGTTACGTCCAGCGGCTTTGTTTCATTTTCCCACATTTATGCACTTTCACAGATATTAAACAGTTAATAAATCACAGTTATTACACATTTAAACCCGAAGAAACACTAAATAGACAAAATAAAACAAAACACACAACTTCACTACTTGCGTTCCCGCCAAAAAGTCAACCGACAGCGTCATCTATATGATTATTTAACAGCCATAGAGTGCTGTAAAGATGTACTTTAAAGAGGTATAGTTTATATATAGATTACTCTTCCTTTTTATTGTACAGTTTGCTATCGATATGCGAGCGCGGCGGAGTGGCCGGGTATGTGCACCCCACGGACCGCGGGTGCCTGGTTCGTCGCGGCGCGGGGGACGCTGACTGGGACAATGACGCTGTCTGTATCGCAAGTTGCTTACGGAACTTGAACAGAGTTGCAGGTGAATATAAAATTATTAAAAATACTATTACGCTATTATTTAACGCGTTCCTTTACTTATTGGTTTTTAATTTAGTGAGTTATTTTATAATATACAAATCCGCATAAAATGTTGAAACAAATTGTTTTTAAATTTTGTTCTCAGAAAGGTATAGATAGAGTCGCTGTCGTATTGAAAATTTTTCGATGAATAATATTTTTATTCATTTCGTAATTTCATTAGTAATATAGGTAATTTATATCGTCGTGTTATAGGTAATTGGTTATGCGAGCCAATAAGCTTTATAATTATACGTCAATAAATGGCCGTTCGTTTTGGCATACGAGATGGAAACGCACCCAGTTTGACGTACGAATTCGAAGACTTAGTCGTATTGGAATTCAAAAATGCACGTGGTAGAGTCACGGCATGCATTTTCAAAATGATGCAACTTAGCAGGTCTCTATCGTGAGGCTTTTTAAAATGATGCAACTTTAATTAACAGGTCTCTACCATGAAGCTTCACTGAATTTGACCCCGATTCCGAAACATTAAAAGGGCATAATTCTATTTATGGTTAGTTTGTGAATACAGTCGGTTTAACGGTTCAAGTGGTTAAGAGCTTCATGACTGCATCGCGGTAGAAATGGCGGTGGTAGTATTTGCAAACTCTATCTCCGCTCTACCTTTATCTCTAGGTGAAGAAATTCCCCTCACCCCAGCAGAATCTTTGGAACTAGCGCTTTTCAACCGCTGGGAGAATTTGAATCGAGAACTTAAAGCTTCTGTCGGCTCTACAAGCACGTACTCTAGGAGACAAATACGCTACTTATGGAGAGTCGCCACTGAGCTTGTTAAATGCAAAAGTATGGTTTATTCGGTAAGTTATAATATGTGTGTATGTCATCAGCCGAGAGTAGCATTATCATATCTTTTATTGTAAGAGTCGTAAAAGGCTTTTTGTATTATTGTTTTATTGCTTAGGTGGGTGGAAGAGCTCACAGTCTACCTGGTGTTAAGTGGTTAGCGGAGCCCATAGACATCTACAACGTAAATGCGCCACCCACCTTGAGATATAAGTTCTAAGCTCTCAAGTATAGTTACAACGGCTGCCCCACCCTTCAAACCAAAACGCATTACTGCTTCGCGGCAGAAATAGGCAGGGCGGTGGTACCTACCCGTGCAGACTCACAAGACGTCCTACCACCAGTGATTACGCAAATTATAATTATGAGGGTTTGATTTTTATTACACGATGTTATTCCTTCACCGTGGAAGTGAAATCGTGAATATTTGTTATGTACGTATTTTATTAACAAAATTGGTACCCGCCTGCGGGATTCGAACACCGGCACATCGTTTGACACGATGCACTGGACGTCTTATCATTTAGTCCACGACGACAACAAATGCAAAATAAAATACATGTAAAAGAGTTCAGGACCTTTTTGATGTTAAGTGTTAATCGAGCCCATGGACATCAGCAATATTTCTTTAATGTCTCGTTTGGCTGCTAGTGTGTGACTATTATACAACGGGGTCCGGCTTCGATTCCCGGTCTTATTGTCGTAGAACCATTATTTATTGTACAATGTTTCTTTTACAATAAAAAATTTGCGAATTTCCGGTCAAATTTTTTCCTTCATAAGCTGTGTTAAGCACTATTTATGAGGCGGCAATATACTATTATATAAGTAGAAGCGTAAATTAAAGTGATTCTAAATAAAAGGTCGGTTGATAGGTCTAATTATTGTTCATTTTCGGTAGGCAGCGGCTTAGCTCTGCTCCTGGCATTGCTGAAGTCCATGGGCGACGGTAATTACTCACCATCAGGTGGGTCGTATGCTCGTCTGCCTACAAAGGCCATAAAAAAAAAACATGTTTGAAATTTGAATATTTCATCCAAAAATCGAAAATTGGAAACCGATTGAGTCTCAAAAATATAAAAAAATTTAACTTTTTCGCTCTGTCAAGAATTACTTTAGCCATTGGAAATGGAGTTTAAGAGCGGATGGTTTTGACTGCAGGAACCTCAGAGCAATTTCAAAATTAACTTAATACAGATGACGTCACCGAACAGCGAAGCAATAGAAGACTTGATACACATTCTGGCGATAATGCTGGATCAGGCCAGAGACTTATACCTGAATGGTCTCCAGTCCAGGACCTTGAAGGAGTTTGACCGGGAAACGTCTGTGTATAGGTGAGATGGAGTCGGTTTATTGTTTCCTGAAGGCTTGCTATCTGTGTGTGGCGCCAGCTCATGGGTGTCCCAAGGCAAATGTCGCTTTGAGACATGAGGTCGTAGTCTCAATTGTGTGGCTGCCCATGCCCTTGAGACCGTGATTTCCAAGTAACGTATTATCCGAGGGACACTTATACTGAACTGAAGCTCCTTCCTGCTGCTAGTAAACGAAGATAAAAAGACACACAAAAGAGACTTTTTATTTAATGCGCTAGCTCTCGGTCGAAAAGCAAAGGTATTCTCCTGATTTTTGGTAAAGAGGCAGTGTGGTCAATGAAAGAAGTTGCCTTTCGAAGCACTTCAGACAAAACACTACTAAAATACATAGCCCTGACTAAAACAATGTTACTATAAAATATTCTACTACCCACAGATCAAAAAAGTGGAACAAACTAAAAAGCTACTACGATGCTTCTTCGGCGTGTCTCATAGATGCTGTTAGACGTGACCCTGATCTGCAGAACCAAGACTTGACCAACCCTCAAACTTTGATGAAGAGCATCTTGAACTGGCTACATAAAGGCTGTAAAGAAGACAAAAAATATTTAGCACCGGTCCTGAAGCCATACTTAGATGGTCTTTTCAATTCGTCTCTGGAGAATTCTTGGTTTTTAGAAGACTTTGAGATGAAGCAGTCATCATCGGAGCATGATGGTTTGAAAGAGTTCTGCCTTGGGGTTCATGATGGAAACATTGATCCTTCCATGGGATTGTTGGAAGTGGCCAAAAAGTACACTTGGGCCAAAGTTATGGTGGACTTTGTGGAGAAGTTTCGGCATATCGGTAAGTTCCAGGAGCTCTACGATTTTATTATTTGGAATAGTATTCGATATAATATTGCACAACGCATTGAAAGTCAATTTTTGCTGCCCACTGTCTGCTTCTGAAATAAACTGTATTCTTCGGTTTTTCTTGAGCTCTATAATATGTCCTTCTTCAGATAGGGCATGACAGAGGTTCGCAGCTGTATGTTCGAATGCTATAATAGCTTATTGTTTTGATTGAAGAGTTTCGCGTGGTGTTCCCCTCAAGTGGAGGGGCGGCGGTGTGCGCACCCCCTCCGCCCCGAAGCGCGCCCTCCTCCGCACGGACCCTCACGCTCACTGCCGCCCGAAAGTCGGAAGCCAAACTAAGGCTGGCGGAGAGGTGCGTCATAGGCGCCTTCCACGACGCACTTACCTTTACTAAGAGGTAAGTGTTTTACATTCAATAAAACATCAAACAAAAAAAAACAATTACTACTACTACTACTACTACTACTACATTACCTGATCAGGCGTTACATGTTTATAGTTTTCATTTACCACAAAAGTAAAATAAAATTCAAATAAGAACTATGCATTGTTATTTGATCCTTCGAGCCGAACATGACAGTGTTAAGGAAGCTATGTAAAGCGGCTTATATAATACGTTCAAATATATATATATTGATAATAAACACCCAAATAAAGTGCAAACAAACCTGTTGATCACACAATATTTTCCCGATGTGGGAATCGAACCCACGACCCTCGGCGCACCAGTCAGGGGTGCTAGCGACTTTACCACCGAATCAGTGAACAGTAAAACACAAAGTAAATAATTTGAAGATTTACTGGTGGTAGGACGTCTTGTGAGTCCGCACGGGTAGGTACCACCACTCTGCCTATTTCTGCCGTGAAGCAGTAATGCGTTTCGGTTTGAAGGGTGGGGCTGCCGTTGTAACTATACTGAGACCTTAGAACTCATATCTCAAGGCGGGTGGCGGCATTTACGTTGTTGTAGATGTCTATGGGCTCCTGTAACCACTAAACACCAGGTAGGCTGTGAGCTCGGTCATCCATCTAAGCAGTAAAAAAAAGGACGACGAGCTCGTATTTCCCGATAATTAAAATTGTGAGCACGCTCTTGTGTTTTATGTTACCATGAAATTTTCCCGAAATCCTGTATTGTAAAATTGTCTAAAATGGTTCACTGTCTGTTGAATATTTTACGCAGATTGGCCGTTACGGTGAATTATTGTATCGTTAGAGCCGTTACGAATATCGTTAGACCGATAAAAGCTACGGATCCGATACAGTTTTGTAAAAGAAAACAGTAATTTGTGTATATTGGCTGGTGAAATTACGTGGGACCTTTTGCGGTATTTGGCTCAGGAACTTACTGCCCTCTTATGGCAGGGTGATCATTATTGCTCATAGAATCATGTTGGAAACATGCTTAAAAGGATGCCTTTGTGGCGGGTAGCCATCATACAACGCAAGATAATTGACAGATGCCTGAATTTCGCTTACGACATTTTCAAGATAAAGCGCATATATACAAGTTCCGAACAACAACATTTGGACCGTCGGTCTACCGAGCAATATCACCCGCTCGGTGGAAGATCTTCCCTTTGTCGTATATATCCTCAAACCTTATAGTCTATGTTTAATATCATTGTCAATCTAAAGGTTGCCTGAAATTTTCAGGTTTTTTAGTACAATCAAGTCGAGTACAATCAAGTATAGTCGAAGTTATGTTACACATTCCTAGTGTTCTTTTCTATGTAACAAAGCTATGAGTTGGATTGGAGACTTACAAATGCTTTTTTATTGCTTAAATCGATGAATAAGTGGCCCAGTTGGCGTCAAGTGACTACCGGGGCCCACAGACATCAACAACGTAATTGATCATCAGAAATGAGTTCTAAGTCTCAGTTTAATCATGCAACGGCTGCCCTGCCCTTCAAACGGAAATGTATTACTGCTTCACGGCAGAAATAGGCAGGGTGGTGGTACCTACCCGTGCGGACTACACTTCCTTACTACCAGTAAAAAGCCATGGCTATTCATATATAGACATATATCGTCTTTTCGCATTAAAAGTGTACAATTTCCAAAAATATTCGAAATTGAGTTAATATGCGGAATTATATTTGGTATCACCAGTATTGTTTCTCATAAATACTGTCTAAAGAGCATAGTTTAGTTTTAGTTCTTTTTTAGTTTATCTATGTTTTGACTACTATTAACAAAATTAATACATAATTTTATCTTTCTTTAAAAGACAAATAATGTAACTGTAAAAAAAAAAATGTTGCAAAGATGATTAATATTAAAAATATCACATGTTAAACCTTTGAAACACTCTCCTGTAAAATTAGTATGTTTTGAGATTATACAGTTTTAATGCGAGAAGACGATATATCGACCATACCATTTTTTTTAAGAGATTTTATGACCTGGTAACTAAGACCTTTAAGTCATGTCTTATTTTACTTTATATTCTTAATTTTATGAAAAATGATAATATGGAGTGAAATGAAATGAAGATGATTAATTTGAGACATTAATCAACTGGGATGAATTTAATGAAATGAGATGATATGGGATGAAATATAATCGCAGTAAAATGGTGGTCATTTACTGAGATTTTTTCAGTGGACTTTTTGGAGGAACCCGATAAGTTACGTCCAGCAGCTTTGTTTCATTTTCCCACATTTGTGCACTTTCACAGATATTAAACAGTTAATAAACCACCGTTATTACACATTTAAACCTGAAGAAACACTAAATAGACAAAATAAAACAAATCACACAACTTCACTCCTCGCGTTCCCGCCAAAAAGTCTCGACCATACCAATTGTAACTTTACCAGACTACCGTCATTTCTGGAAGCCTAGAAAAATACGTACCCCGAAACATTTCCAATTAATCGATAATGTTTATTTCTCGTAATTAATACGCCGTCGGGCCTTGAGTGACGAGGGTCAGCCCCGCCGCACCTGCCGCGCGTACACTCTCTGTGCGGGTTTATTTGTTTAGGGAGATATTAATTGATGAAATGTTTCGCGTGTACCGATTAATCAGGTCTTGTTTCTGTTTTTTTTATTGCTTAGGTCGGTTCACGAATTCACGGCCTACCTGGTGTTAAGTGGTTACCGGATCTATAACGCAAATGCCGCCACCCGCCTTGAGATATGAGTTCTAAGGTCTCAGGTATAGTTACAATGGCTGCCCCACCCTTCAAACCGAAACGCATTACTGCTTCACGACAGAAATAGGCAGGGTAGTGGTACCTACCCGTGCGGACTCACAAGAGGTCCTACCACCAGTGATTACGCAAATTATAATTTATTAAAATAATTAATTAAATATAATTAAATAATTAAATATAATTAATTAAAAAGGAGAAAAGAGAAGAAGAAAAATAATAAAAATCTTACATTACAGACGTTTTTTCCCGGTTAGGGTTTCCCTTCCGCATCGTCCCATAAGGAACGAAGTTCCAAAAGTGATGTTATTACATGTATTTCACTTAATTTCCTTCCCCTCTCTCTCCCTTTCGCTTCCTTTTAAAAGTACAAATCCAGACGTTTTAAAAAAAAATAATAATAATATAGAAGTGTGTTTGCAGCCAAAGCCCTCCTCAAGTGAAGGTGAAGGCCTCCTCTAAAGAATATCATCTGTTTAATTTTAGATTTTCACCTTTTCTTGGTTGGTCTACCTGAATACATACCTAAAAGTTGTATAAGTGGAGTTACAAATAAAGTTATATAGAATCAAGTGAACCACTGCAATATGTGTATTTATTTCCTAGTAATTATTTTTATATTTTACCTTACTTACTTGCAACACTTAACCAACAGCGGTATTCCACGCCACGAAAGCGAAGAAATTCTTGCAAGCGTCAAATCGGGAAACTACTGGAGGAACTCTGCCAAGCCTGATATCATACCCTCGACATCGTACCAAGACGTCTCCAAGCTGAACTTGGAACCCAAGCACAGAAGATCTCGGAGGAACCGACCGGTGACGTCATATTTTCCAGAAATTTCCATCACAAAACAAGGTGACGCCAAGACCTTGAGGAGAAAATACCATACGTTGAAGAGTCTAGTATACACTGAACCCGTGGAGAGTATCAAAGAGTTAAGAAAGCGACCACGGTCTGCTGGGTCTACTCTCAGGAATAAGGAGGCTCTCAGTAGACCTAGTCTTTTGGAAACTTTGGATTTTATTAACAGCGTAAAGGATGCTTTAAGTGGTGAGTTTCGTGGTCCATTTAATATTTAACTTTTTTTTATTGCTTAGATGGGTGGATGAGCTCATATCCCACCTGGTGTTAAGTGGTTACTGGAGCTCATAGACATCTACGACGAAAATGCACCACCCACCTTGAGATATAAGTTCTAAGATCTCAGTATAGTTACAACGGCTGCCCCACCCTTCAAACCGAAACGCATTACTGCTTCACGGCAGAAATAGGCGGGGCGGTGCTACCTACCCGCGCGGACTCACAAGAGGTCCTACCACCAGTAATATTTAACGAAATTAAAGTGTCTGTTTGTTGATTGAAATAAACTTGGATGGTCCAGTCGGAGAGTCTGGCGCGTCTGATGCCGAGGAGTCGGCGTGGTCGCCGGCGGACGAGTGGCTCGTGGGGCAGACGGCGCCGCTGAGTCTGCTGGGCGCGCACTCCGCGGGGGACACTCTTCATTTGGCTCTGGCCGATTTCATACCGGCTCTGTTGAATCGAGGAAAGTTTACTGTGAGTGTGCTTTTCATTCAATTGAATGATGGGTATCTTTTGGACAGGAATTAGTATCTTGAGGCGTGATGTCCGTGGACATCATGGTGAAGGAATAACAGTGTGTAATAAGAATCAAACCCGCTAAATGATAATTTGTGTAATTATTAGTGGTAGGACATTTTGTGGGTCCGCACGGGTAGGTGTCATCACCCTGCCTAATACTGCCATGAAGCAGTATTGCGTTTCGGTTTGAAGGTTGGGGCAGCCGTCACACTATTATATATTAAACTGAGACCTTAGAACTCATGTCTCAAAGTGGGTGGCGGCATTTACGTTATAGATGTCTATGGGCTTCAGTAATCACTTAATATCAGGTGAGTCGTGAGTTCGTCCACCCACCAAAGCAATAAAAAAAAACTTCCAATAGTTGTGGAAATCAGTGTTCTTCTAAATTTTTTACCAGGAAAATGGCGGTTGTTCAATGGATTTTTGATCATTTGTATTTATTGATTTAAAATGGTATTTTAGTTGACGATTCTCCAAAAAGCTCGTATTTAATACGAGGGATTTTTCTGTTCAGCATACTTAGTATGATAAGCATAGGTAATTCTTAGGTCAGGACAAGTAATATATTCCCCCGGTGAAGGTCAAGGGGCGACCTGAGGGGGAAGAGGTCGCGCATCGCGCTGCCAGCACTCTGGCGCGCCGCCAAGGAGTATCCATAATAGGACAACCGGTTGGCGGTGTATCGCGTCGCGACCCGGCAGGCTAGTTCTGATCCAGTGGGGTATTCCGGGACACCAGCGGCACCGTGTGGGTGGCCTAACGGGCTGCCGTACCGAGACGGCCGACGTTTCAGAACCTTTCGCCTCGAAGACTCCATCGGCCGGGCATCCTTGGGGTGAGCTGCGCCGTCTGGTTGTAGTGTTGACCGCGGTAACCAACTTACCTTATCCGGGTTCTGACCTCGGAGGAGATCGGATGCTTGGGCGAAGAGTGCAGGGGAGTCGTTTAGTGGGCCCCTGAAAACATCCTTGGGCCCGCGGTATTGCAGTCGCGGACCAGTTCCACATACCCCGTGCGCCGCCTAGGCGCGGAGACTTCGTAGGAGGTTCGGTCCCTGGCCCGAAAAAAAAAAGGACAAGTGATATCTTGAGTGGTGTTTCAGTATTGTGACGTGTATTATCCAGGTCCTGCAGGAGCTGTGCGCGCGGCTGGGCGCGGGCGGCGAGGGCGCCCTGCTCGCGCTGCACCGCCTGGCGCGCGCGGCGAGGTCCCGGAGCAGCGAGCGCGCCGCCAGGTACCCCGCGCTCTTCCGCAGCGCAACCGAGACTTGGCTACGATAGGCAGCGGCTTGGTCCTGCCCCTGGCATTGCTGAAGTCCATGGGCGACGGTAACCACTCGCCATCAGGTGGGCCGTATGCTCGTCTGCCTACAAGGGCAATAAAAAAAAAGATCTGTGGTGTCGTGGGACACCGGATAAGAACGAAGTTCCATAATATAAAAATATTAATTTTAAGTTCTATTCGAGGTATTCAGAAAATAAAACTGGAGGTTTCGCAACAGCCCACGGTCATTCGGTAACGTGCGAACTTATTGTGGTACACTTCATTTACGGTTGTTTGCATAAGAGTTAGTGTATTGCGCAAACAAACGCTCTGAGATCGTGGTCAATGAATGATAAAAAAACATGTTAGTTTTTGTACGTTATTGCAAAGTTAAGTCGTACACTGTGTGCACTACTACTACAAAATCTTACGTTACGGACGTTTTTTACCAGTTAGGGTACCCTTCCGCATCGTCCCATAAGGAACTTCGTTCTAAAAACTTTCAGTTTGCCAAATCTTTTGGTTTTGCTGCTCGGGATATTTTTTTTTGATTTATCACTTATCTATGTGTGTCTGTATATTATTATTACATTATTAGTTTCCAAACGATTCTTTTCCACCTGATGGTTGTCTGGAAGTGATCGCTCTTAGCTATAAGACCGCCAATTGTACTTTTTTTTGTTTTTAATGTTTCGCATTGTTTCTTTTGTTGGTGTACAATAAAGAATACTCTTTTTCTATCACCCTATATGAGTCGGAGCAGCAGTCAAGATGACAGTCCATTTGGTGTTAAATGCTTACCGCTGTTGAACATATAGTTCAGTCCTCTCCACACATAGTCGACTAGGATTTTTGCAATCATTCAAGGGTTCAGACCTGATCTTTGATAAAAACAATATTGAGATGTCATCGTAATTATCCAGTCCCACTATTTTATTTATTTATGTTATTTTATTTGAAAGATAAATAGTGATTTTAAACTATATAAAAACTAACCTTACAATTAAAAACAATTTAAGTATCTCTACATTTAAGTAACTAAACGATTATAGCGCCGCTTCGCCTAGAATTAAACAATTAACACAAATATTTAAAACAAAAACAAAATCAACAATTAAAAAAAAACAGAAAAACGTACTAAATAGAAAATAATTAATTAAAAATGTGCATTCGATCATCGACTAATGAATGTTCTCCTAATAATCCTTAGTAGAAATGTTAAAAATGTTTACTTATGGTACAGATATTTTTTATGACTCCATTTCTAAGTCGAGGAATTCTTAAACGTCAACAGCTCTTGGAGACTTCCTGAAGCATACCCCAGCAGGTTGGAGTCGGTGCAGACGTACAAAACGAGGTCACCAGACCATGAATCAGGGGATGAAGAGCCTCCACCGCCGCCGCCGTTACCGCGCAGGTCCAGCAGGAGACAGGTGCAAAGATGAAGTCTTCTCACTAAGCATGTGTTGTTAAGAAAAATCTGTTATTTTTTAGTCATATCATCTGCTGCCAATTCAGGTGTCGGTAGTCAATAACGAGCCACAGTTATAAAAGTATTTATAATTTGCGTAATTACTGGTGGTAGGACCTCTTGTGAGCCCGCACGGGTAGGTACCACCGCCTTACCTAATTCTGCCGTGAAGCAGTAATGCATTTCGGTTTGAAGGGCGGGGCAGCCGTTGTGACTATACTGAGACCTTATATCTCAAGGTGGGTGGCGCATTTACGTTGTAGATATCTATGGGCTCCAGTAACCATTTAACACCAGGTGGGCTGTGAGCTCTTCCACACATCTAAGCAATAAAAAAAAGGACGATTGGCATGTGAATTCACTATTGGGGTGAGGTCGTTAACCAATAAGTCCATAGACATCATAACAAAGTGGCCACCGCTTTTTTTGAGGCATGATGTAGTAGTCGCAATCTCAACGACGACTGGTCCACACTTGAATACTGAGCCCAGAACAGTTTTGTGGAAGAAATACTGCGGAAGATGATACTTACCCGTATGGGATCACAATTGAAGAACTTCATTTTTAGTAGATGATGTAATTCCTTTAATTTAAAATTGGTACCTAACAAATTGAATATTAGTCAGAAAATTTTACACGAACATTTTTAATCAGTCACAATAATTTTAATTTTCTTAGAAGATACAAGCCTAACTCGCCTTCTTCTCTGGGCGTTTAAAATTAACATTATTATTTATGGTCATTATTATTAGGGAGTCCAACACTCATATAAATATTAGCCTATCCATTAAGTACATGTATTTTCTACATGGATACCAAGTTTCAAGTCAATCGGATGCATGGTCCAATAGTTATAACGGAAGATCCGTAAAAACCACTGTAGATTTATATATTAGTATAGATATAAACTCACAGCTAAAATGATGGTAATTGTCGACCATGGACATCAGCAACGCAAGAAGCACAGCTGAACCGCTTAGTCTCACAGTTCACATATAACTTAGCACCTACTTACCAACAATACTATGGTTACAGATAACCTACACGGAATACACCGCCCTCCCCCCCCGATCCCCCGCCGCCGTCACCAACCCCCTCTACGATGTGACCACGACGCTACCCAAACACAAACTCACAGTCAAACGATCGAAGTCCTTAGGCAGGAGTTGCAGCACAAAACTGGGGGACGGTTTCAGGACTTTGGGCCACAGGAGTAGGACTAACGACGTGCTGACGGCCACCGAGGGCATGAGCGGAGCCACGGGAGTAGAGTCGAAAGGATATCTGTTCTATCGTTACAGCACTGCGGATGTCGTTGGTGACTCCTACAGAGTACATAGAGCCACTATTGAGTGATTCTCCGAGTGGGACTCCTATAAGGACGTGTAGGATGTGGTGCAGAGTCCTAGAGCAAGGGCAGATGGAGAGGAAACTAAATAAAGATGCTGCTTCAGACCAATGATTTATAATCCACCACAGTAGCTTTTGTCACATCGCAATAAGAACGGAAAATGGGACTCTTTATAGATGGACAGGAAAACTCACGATCCACTAGTTACCAGATATCGGAACACGTGCCACTACCCGCCTTGAGACATGAGTCGGAGTCTCAATTGTGTAACGGCTGTCTCATCCTTCAAATACATGATGGCTTCGTGCAATAAAACAGTGGACACAGTGGCTGCTCCCGAGGGTGTAAGTGAAGGAAGAGTTAGAGCTTCGTCGAAACTTTGTTCCACAGGTAATGAAGACGTGCTTAGAGTGAATAGTGTGAATTATTAAAATAAATTTTAGTCGGATTTTGCTTTTATTACCTCAACCTGTCCAAAAGAATGTAGAATGGGGATCGCAGCGCATAAAATAAAACTTACACTGTTCCATAATCTTTTCTTATCTATATAGGTATATATAAAAATGAATTGCTGTTCGTTAGTCTCGCTAAAACTCGAGAACGGCTGGACCGATTTGGCTAATTTTGGTCTTGAATTATTTGTGGATGTCCAGAGAAGGTTTAAAAGGTAAAGATAAATATGAAAATGCTCGGAATAAATAAAAATAACAATTTTGTTTTCCCTTTGATGTTTCCCCCGTCGGACGGATTCCTTTTGTTTGTTTTAAGTATATTTTATACAAAAGCTTAAGTCTTTTATTTATCGATTGAGACACTACGAAGTCTGCCGGGTCAGCTAGTTAATAATAAAAAATAATCTAACCCCTTTTTTACGCCTTAACCGTCTTCGCCATCTTCCTTTTTTTCTGTCATTTTCTTTTCCCTTTCTTTCTGTTTTCTCTCACTGACGTACGTTCCGTTCTTACCAATCCTACATTTATTTATTTTACCAAAACAAGCACGTGTGTTTTTTATAATAAAATTCCGCGCATTCAACAAAATCTCTACAAGCAGTCGGTTGGCGACGCGCAGAAATTAAATTTTAAAAGAGGCACTTTAAAATGTTTCACGTGTGACACGGCAGTGTTCGCGCTTATATTATATACTAGCGGCCGGTCCGGCTCCGCTCGGGTCTTTAATAAGAATTTCAATGATATTTGACGTTGTTTTATTTTTAAATAAAATAACACTTATTGCGGCATAACTATAATAGTTACATATATGTTGTCGCGACACTTTTTGTAAATAATAATGTGTTCTACAAAGTCGTAGTACATTATTTTATTCTATCATCAATAGTTTTCGCAGGGCACGCGATGTAAAGAATATTTTTGGTAATTTTTTTACACCTTGGGTTACATGGAGTTTTAGTAAGGATCCCTAATTTTATTCAAAAAAGTTTACCTGTGTCACTCGGTAATAGTGTAGCTTCCGAACAGTGAAAGAATTTTTCAAATCGGTTCGGTAGTTTCGGAGCCTATTCAATACAAACAAACAAACAAATCTTTCCTCTTTATTACATTAGTATAGAAGTATAGATATATCGTTAATATCATGTGAGCCGAGAACGGGTTGAAGGGACCGCATCGTGACCTAGTTGCAGTCCAAAGTTAACGCAAAAAGCACTTTTGGACATCACTGCGGTTCATTAACTTTCAGCTGATCGTATCGTAACATCATTCGTAAATAATATCTCTGTATAGAGCGCTTAACCTGCATTGCTTTCCGACTCTGCTCGCTACGTACGTGTTAACCGTACGAGCTCTCATAAAAATAAATACAGTGGTAGGACGACTTGTGAGTCCGCACGGGTAGGTATCACTACCTTGCCTGTGTCTTCCGTGAAGCAGTAATGCATTTCGGTTTGAAGGGTGGGACAGCCGTTGTACTTACTGTAAAATCGAAGACCTTAGAACTATTATCTCAAGATGGGTGGCGGTATTTACGTTGTAGATGTGTATGGGCTCCGGTATCCACTTAACATCAGGTGGTCTGTGAGCTCGCCCAGCCATCTATCTCATCTTATATCTCAAGGTGGGTAGCGCATTTACGTCGTAGATATCTATGGGCTCTAGCAACCACTTCACACCAGGTGGGCTTGAGCTTTTCCACCCATCTAAGCCATAAAAAAAACTATATATAAGCACAGACTCAACAGTGGTGACCCCGACGTGATCACTGTTGAGTCTGAGCACAGACTCAACATAATAATGAAATATTTATCATCATCGTCGTCGCAAATATATCACGCCACGATAGGTTTACATTTCAAAGGATATGTATGACTTGTAGTGACTTGAAGGTAGCCGATTTAAATGTCTCGCACTGCAAATATTCGCTTGTTTGGTTATTGCGATACGGCTGCTAGGAAATTGGTTCTATTTACCCGGTAATTAAGTTTTAGGTGAGCGCCCCGTGCGCCCGGCAGACTGTACACGCCAGAGCTATGAAATATTTATTAAGCTGTTTTGTATTGAACTTGAGTAGTCGAAATATGTTAAATTATTAAAAATTTATTTTGGACCGTTTACGTTTTAAAAGCTTATTCCTTTTTGGATTTAATTTTAATCAGATATGGCTTTCGGGAAACCATTCTCGAAGTTATAATTAACCAAAAAAAAATCCTATAATTTCTTCAAGTCATGATTGAAAACGATTTTTTTGTATGATAATGATGATTCCATTATCTCGTTTTTACCATCGTACTGCCCGTCACCGGAGTAGAGTTTATCCACACTACCTGGAGCCGCTGCGTTCATCCAAAGTGCGTTTCCAGATATCTTTTTTGCCACGTACCTACCATCCGGCTATGGAATGAGCTCCCCTCCACGGTGTTTCCCGAGCGCTATCACACGTCCTTCTTCAAACGAGGCTTGTGGAGAGGACTGCGAGGCGGCGGTTGTCGTCGGTCTTTTAAAAAAACACAAGCCCTTTTCTACAACACTGTTTTATTCAAAAAACGCTCAGAATAAATGTTTGCTTAACACCTCTGTTTCAGTTCTTTTATTATGTTCTGACGCTACGCGAAACGACTGAACTTTACGACTGAACTGGCTTTTACTGCACTGTGACTGTGACTGGCTGAGACTAAGAAAGAGACTGGGACGATGACTGAGATTGGCATGATGACTGAGACTGGCAGGGCGATTGTGTTTGGCACGATGACTGAGACTGGCACGATGACTTAGACTGACACGATGATAGTGATTNAGCTCACAGCCCACCTGGTGTTAAGTGGTTACTGGAGCCCATAGACATCTACAACGTAAATGCGCCACCCACCTCGAGATATAAGTTCTAAGGTTTCAGTATAGTTACAACGGCTACCCCACCCTTCGAACCGAAACGCATTACTGCTTCACGGCGGAAATAGGCGGGGTGGTGGTACCTACCCGTGCGGACTCACAAGAGATCCTACCACCAGTGATTATGCAAATTACAATTTTGCGGGTTTGGTTTTTATTACACGATGTTATTCCTTCACCGTGGAAGTCAATCGTGAACATTTGTTGAGTACGTATTTCATTAGAAAAATTGGTACTCGCCTGCGGGATTCGAACACCGATGCATCGCTACATACGAATGCACCGGACGTCTTATCGCTTTAGGCCACGACGACTTCAGAATCGTCTATCACACATCCTTCTTCAAACGAGGCTTGTGGAGAGTACTGCGAGGCGGCGGTTGTCGTCGGTCTTTTAAAAAAAACACAAGCTCTTTTCTACCACACTGTTTTATTCAAAAAACGCTCAGAATAAATGTTTGTTTAACAACTCTGTTTCAGTTCTTTTATTATGTTCTGACACTACGCGAAATGACTGAACTTTACGACTGAGCTGGCTTTTACTGCACTGTGACTGTGAATGACTGAGACTAAGAATGAGACTGGCTGACTGTAAGACTGGCACGATGACTCTGACTAAGACTGGCACGATGATTGAGATTGGCACGTTGACTGAGATTGGCACGGTGACTGGCGCCCACGAGGCCGCCTCGGTTTTTATATCACTCTATACTACTTGTCTAAGCAAATTAGTGGAGTGATGAAAGAATATAACATGTGCTGCTTGTTCAGCACGATAACAGTATTACAAAAGGATATAACGGTAGGCAGCGGCTTGGCTCTGCCCCTGGCGTTCCTAAAGACTATGGACGACGGTAACCACTCACCATCTGCCTACCAGACTGCCTACAAGGCCATTAAAAAAATCGCATACACTACATTGTAGCATGATACAATGAAAAATGATTACTCGTATGTAAATACCCATAATTGTTATAGGTGCACGCGCGTTTTTATACGAGTAATACTTAATGTTATCACGTGCATTGTAATTTCCTCGATTTTCGCGGATCGTAAATTTATTTTACGGTTTAATAAAGCGATATTAGAGCGCAAAAGTAGTTTTAAATTTTATCATACGTAAATATCTCATTTTCTCTCATTAGATTTATTTATTTATTTATTTAGACACACCAACAGCAATACACACAAAACATTCAAGCTTAAAATTAACAGATATATATAATTAAGTACTGGTATGTAAGCCAGTTACAGGCATGTACAGCAATCTCTTAAAACACACTATGACATGTTACAGCAATTTTACAAACAGCGGAAAAATAGGCTAAATTTAAATGTTAACAGTACGATCAAAAAAGTATATTTGAAAACAACATGAAAACAAGAGCTAACTACATTTTTTTTTGAAGGACTTTTATGACCTGGTAACTAAGACCTTTAGGTCAAAGCTAACTACACACACTACTAACGTCACAGATTACTAAATAAAAAAGTCGAGCGCGGCAATGCAAAAAATATCAACACATAGAACAGACTGCGCAATGTAATCAGAATGACATTCTCTCATCAATTATAAGCAAAGGAACTTGGATACTAGTTTGTTTTTGAGACCAGGACACGTGTCGTTAAAAATGTCGATGCCGTCAATTAATGCACATATTTGGTTATATTCACTTCAAATCTTTGATAAATAGATACCTATTATAGTCTGATAGTTTCATGAATCGATATGGAAGTTTTAACGTTACTGTAAATTGTTTGCTTAAATGGAAACAGATTCGAATTAGACTACAACATTTTTAGGATTTCAAGTTGGAAGTAGGTTAAATCTCTCTATTTTGGTATAGTTGATGGTTCAATTATTAAAAATATTCAAAAGTGCAGTAGTTTACATCAAAGAAGGTACCAAATTCGGTTTTTGTGGTAGAATATGGGCAGAGGAGCTTCATCAGCTGCTAAGTTTCATATACATCACAATGTGAAAGATGTCACCCATTGTTGAAAATCAAGTGGAAGCCTGAATAGTATCGCAATGCAGCTGTCCTGCCTACCCTTCAGACTATAACGCACCAACGCTTATCGATAGAAGTAAAGAATGGATGGTA